AATTTTTTCTTTAAATACAATTTTCTTCACTTTTGTTCCAGACATAATTTCTATTAGATGAGCGGTTTTTGTGCTATGATTTATTGAAAAATATCAAACACGCCATTTTGATAAATTTGGCGTTAGTCAAAATGGATGCATTCCAGCACAAACTTGGTTCATTGCCTTACACTCAAAAAAGTCCACACGTCTGATCGAAGTGTTTAAGCACTTGATTTTTCATATGCACAATCACATTTATTTTAAGTGTATTCACAATGTTTCATTGTGATTTACACGTTGATTTCTAGTGTTTGAAACTATGAAATTCTGATAATCTTTCTGATTCAAGTGTTTTTCATTTCAATGCTATATGAATCCAGCTTTCCATGATCGGTAATGGCGGCCTGTTTGTATGAATAAATGTATCCATAACTGTGCTTTTTGACACTATCTGGATGTTCGGATTTTTAACCCCTCCCTTTCCCTCTCCCAGGAACAGAAGAAAATGGAACAAAATATGCCCTTCAGTTAGTGTCATAAAGCACAGTGAAGGATTCATTTATTCATACAAACAGGCCGCCATTACCGAGCATGGAATGCTGGATTGCATGTTTCGCAAGATAAACATCAAAAACATGAGTTCCCAAGTAAAAATTATGGTTTTATGAGGGTTCTGTAGACCATGATTTAGACTTGTAGAATGCTATAAAACCGCGAAAAATGTTACTTGGTTTTTGACTTCATCCTTATCAACCAGCCTCATATATGAGAACAACCGTGGGCCCAGTGATATCGAATGAAGGCAACGGTAGCAGCACACCCCAAAACTCCAGGATCAATTCCCAAATCAGACCCATTAAAAAAGGCATGTATAAGCTCTAGCCTCTGGCAGCTTTGTTTATATATTTGTCGATTCAATTTTGGAGTCGATAAAGTAGACTATTGTACAACATTGGACTATGACGTGCAAAGGTATTGATATCACCATGTGAGGCACATAGACTCCAAGTGTGTAACAATTCGAACCAATAGTGTTGAGGCATGCTTCACACATGAAAAGGATGTGTTTCACAATAAGTGATCAATTAAGTGTGAGACACATGATGATGACGTGTGGAATTTTTCTAGTGTGGTGAACATTTTTACAAAAATTCTTGGAAATCAGAGGGAGAATAATAAACTCGATTTGTCAATAGGCCTGGAAATGCTCTACTTTTTGAAGAAATGTAAAACAAAAAAGTTAGAATATAAAAAAAACTGTGTAAAGTAGTGTAAGATAGACTCTTAGATCTGAATACAGCCTACATTTTTGTAGAAAACAGCTTGTTACTATCTTTAAGCGTTCATGAGTTAAACGTTATTGTATACAGTCAACTCTCCTTAGCTCGTTGTTTAAGGTAGCATCGAGCTACGGAGAAGTCGAGATGTAGAACCAGCAATGCCTACAAGACCTTTTGAAGGGACTGAGATAACTATCGACATATAGAAAGAAAGTGGTCACATATCGAGATACAGAACATCGAGATACGGAGAGCTGACTGTAATTATGTTTGGGTATTTTAAAAGTTTTGTAACCCGACAGCCTTACGAGTTTCCCGTTTTTAGTAAAAATGGCTTAAGCGCCACTCCCGAGGGAGACCATCTACCGAGACTAGGGTTGCCCGACCGTATGAGACCTTTCAGGGAAGGTTCTGTTTTTCCCAAATGAATGAGCGGGAAGCAAGTTGGCTGTTGATCGATTACGATAAGGACGGGAATGCCCACGACCTATGGTCGTGAAAGAAACAAAAAGAAAGAATGAAGCATTCACGAAAACGATTTCTGCCACCGATGAATTGCTCTCGCGGATTTTATCATCACGGGCAGGCTTGACACAACACTTCGAACGGATTCCGTTCGAATAGAGAGATATCCTGGTTGGTTTCGGGGCCAACTCCCCCAGTAAAACTCTGCAAAAACTTCAAAAGAAAACGACCGGAAACGTGAAAAACCCTTACATTCGCTTTTCTAGATCTATTTGGGAAATGATGAACAAAAACTTTTTATCTGTAGTGTGTTGGTTTATTGAAAACGCATCCTATTCATATTCAAACTATCTCTTGTTCATCATGGTTTATTTTCGTATACAATTTATTATTCTAGGCCTATCTCAAATTCATTCCCTCTAGTGAGCTATCCTTTTCTTCTTTCTTCTTCTGGCGGTATTTATTTAGTGTGCTATGCGACGAATGGTGTTCATTTTGTGTGTGCTACAAAAAGCTGTTTGGCGTTACCGACGCTTGCGCGGATCGGAATGGGTAACGGCTGAACGAACAGCGGCCACGCTAGCGGTTATGCTATGCTAGGGGCTTTAACTCACCATGCGCATGGGAATTTTGTTAACATGCATGTTACTCACGTTTTGACTCGCTACTTGCGTGGAGGAATTGGCGGTTGCTCGATGATGCCGGTTGGACCCACGTGTACTACACGCGATACTCCTACGGACTCCGAAACTATGCTACTGCGGACTGCACATAGCCGATGTCGTTTTCCAACTACGCCTCACACGCTGAGTTTTGGTCTTCTACCTAGACGGGGTACGGCCGTCGCATCGATGGTCGTCACCGTCGACGGGAAACTGCGGAAAGTGGTTGCCGCTGGAGAGGGAGGTCACCGGTTCGGAACCAGTGGGTTGCTGCTCACTGTGCCTAGGGCGCGGAAATCTTTTGGCTGCCCTTTTCCGGCCTCTGGTACCACCGGGTATTCTTCGAAGCTGGAAAATGGGGTCGAAAACGGTCGCTGACTGATGTGGGTGGTGTGACGAGCTTCGCAACTTGCCACAAATCTGCCAAAGAGAAATTCCGTCGCGTGGCATTCAACATCTGCACACTGAACAAAGTTATGCACATAATATTACCTCGATTTCAAAACACCTTCGCACACTCCTAACCGCCGAACTAACGCACTAAGCACTTTCTGCTTTAATTTCGAAAACTAACGAACTAATCGAGGGAATTTATAAAGAAAATCTAAATTAGCAAACTTAAAGACAATTTTACGTTTAATAATTCACCTTTAAATTCACACCACGGCGCGATAACTGAAACTCGGACCGCTCTCGCCTCTTCCACAAACCAGAACGAAGTGAAAGAATCAAGTCTGAAGGTCCTCAGGTTAGGCGCAAGAATTGCAATCTTCGTCGCTGGAAATTACGTGAAATCAACGAAGTTGATTTTCACTAAGTTAAAAAAATCGCCTTCACGCATACTAGTTTTTTGTAAAAAATACAAAGGAAAGCATTCTCCTTCTATCAAGTTAACGCATATGCCAATTCGCTTCCCACCCGAAGTGCATGAAAGGATGGGATGGGTCAACAAATCCTGAAAGCAGAATTGTGCAGGTCGATGTCCGTGCGTTTACGCGTGGTTTGCTTAGACTCTTCGTTTGGCTATCGAATTACGCTTTGGCGCCCGAAATGGTACAGAGAACTCATTTACCATCTAATGAACATTTCGGTGAGTGAACTTTTTGCGAACGCTTCATGCGTCAAGGGGTAATTCGATTGTTTGAAAAATTTCAATTATTGTACAACTTTTTACATTTTGATTTTTATAATATGGCACCTGCCACAGTTTACATACTTCATTTTAAAAGTCGATCTCGCGACTTTAACTTTAAAGGTTGCGTTTTATGTGGTCTTTCAGATGCAATTTCAAGAATAAAATTATCTTCTCAACTACTTAAGATTAATATTTTGAAGATAACATATTTTTTGGGTTACCCATAACTTTTGAATAACAAATCCAAAATTTCATTAATTTTGGTACACTGGAACTATTTTAGATAAATTTGATTAGCAAAAATACCACCTTAGCGCCCCTCGATGGGAGTTTGTATGGGAGCAAGATGTCAATTTGAATCTCTTTCAGTTGATGTATAAAAACGGATAACTTTTTCAAAATTAAAGAATCCCTTTTCTTAAAATCCTTGGTAGAAAGATGACTCAAAACTGCTTGACTTGGCAATTAATACATATTTTTATCCGGGAAATATTTTCACGCTATGGCCTACTGTGATCCATAGCTCGCTCTGCTTTGCTCACTAATACTTGCCTAGTTTATTCTTCTCAACGTCACCGAATTACATAATCTTACTTAAGATATAACGGACTGTGAGAGAGTAACGTCATGAAAAATTAAAATTAATTGCTGAACACTGAACAAATTGGAAGCCATACTTTGGTCAAACATGAATGAAGTACTCTCTGGCAAAACTTCATCGCTATTTTCCGATACTTCCAGTGGATTATGTCAAGCATCAAGGATCCAAAGCCCACCCAGTGTCAGTTATATCAATTCGATTCCTTCTTACTTCCAACAAAACAATTCATCCAAAACTGGCAGTAGAGGAAATGGAAAATCATTCACGGAAAACAGAACACAGCGGCCTTTCTATGATGTATTCGATCATTCGGGTTTCAATCCCACTCACTCCAGCTCATTCGTCGTCGACGAAAATAAGCCGTACTCAAAAAGTTGCCATTGTTAACCACGACCGCCACTAAAGCATCACCTCACCCGCCTACTGCCTGTCTGTTTGCGGAAAAATCTTGTAACCATTTTCATCGCCCTTTTGTTTTCCTGGGAATGTAATGGTTATACATTACCGGCCAAAATAATATGATACCTTATTTATAAAACATAGAGAAAAAATGAAGAATTTTTTAAGAATAAATCTCGTTCAATACATTCCATGAAACATTGATGATTCCAGTACAAGTCAAAATTTTGCTATTCAACAGCTAAACACCACAAGTAGCTCTCAGTGACAACTGTTTTAGCCAACACTGTGCATTACTTGACATTCACTCCGCCTTGTATGTTCCAAAAAATGTACGTCAGTTGAAACATTGTTCAATGTCAGTAAATGGTTTATTAAATTACAACTGAGACGTACTTTGTACACCCATCACCATCTATTATACAAATGACAGTCTGGAATTCTCTATTTCCCCATACTAATCGCCTCCATTAAAGGACCGTCATCGATTCGGTAGAAGTTTCACCCGTTTTCAACAGCAGCCCGATCGACGGCATGGAGGTATCGGACCAAATCTCTCACATAAATAATAAAACTACCTCATAAAGGACTAATCTACGATTTAACCTCTTTCCAGCATTACGCCGACCTGTACCATCTGGGCCGGGAACACTCGCAGCCGTCGTCCAAAGTGAAGCAGGAGAACATGAGCCCCATCCTGCGAGACAACGTCGTGCAGCTGTTGAAGGCAGTTCGGCCGTTAAGCTTCTCCTAAATGAAACTTCTCCCACCATGAGCACGGCGCGGCCTTGAAATAAATACTCCCTCTAGAAATCAAACTGTTTTGAATCCGAAACGAAACAAATCCAATCATTTATTTATTAATTAAATCTTCTCAGTATAGTTAAAAGTTTTGCTATCATCGCTTTCAACACTGCTCCGGCAGGCTTACTATGCCTACTATGCTGTGAATATCCCATGATTGTTATGTTCGAGTCGAGAAGAGGCAAGCCATCTCCGCAACAAGGCCATGCCATGTGGCACAGTAGGTAGCTACAACAAAAACAGGAGCCAGAGTAGGCTATGAAAACAGAGAGTGTGGCGTTCTCTCGACTCGGCTTGCTTTGCTATCCTGTCGTTTCTCGATCTAGTACTGCACGACAGAGCACGGAAGTTTTCCTCTCGCAGCTTCGGCGTGGAAAGCGCCTTTCTCCTGATCTCATGGCTACTCTTCTTGGATTGCTGCTGTGATGATAGCGCTCATAGCTCCTCTCGACCATCGGCAGCATTAGGGCAGTAGTAGTCTTCGGCGGTTCGTCTCGGTTAGTAACGATTGAAAACTCTCGGGTGTCCGCAAATGCCACTGGTTCGGGCTTTCTTTCTTTCTTTTTTTTGTACGCAGTGGACTATTACCATAAAAATTGATCACGGACGCTGCGGTATTCAGGGATAGAAGAGAAAGTGTTTTTCGTACAAGAGAAGAAAAAATTGCTGCACAATTTCCAAGCGAATAATTCAATGATATAATTATAACTAGATCGGCATAGTGAACGTGAACCTGTGTGCGCATAATGAAAGTATGAATATTATATTCCAGCACAGAATGAGAGTGTATGATAAGTTGAGTTATTATTATTCATAAAAAGCCAGGCTGAATTTTAATGAAAGTGCTTCATGGAGTATAAAGGAATGTCGGATGTGGATTACGCTTGGAATAACTTGAAGCAGAGAGAGAGCAGAAGTAAGCCCTGTGCCTGTTGGAGTAAAATAAAAAAAAAAAAAACATACAATTAAATGAATATCTCTTCACCGAATGAATAGTGGTTGATTGCAGGAAAGTATGCATTGGTTTAAACTTCTTTTGCAAGAACTGAGTAATCCACCCCAAGGGCATCGAAAATTCCTCCGTACGAATAGTTCAGAAAGGAATTTTTACGCATCAACTATTTCGAAAGCCCAGCACACACTCTTACGCAATTTAAAGTGCACTTGTGATTGCTGAGAAATGTGTGCATCTATATCTTCCAGATCCCAGCATCCAGCCAGGCGGACAGGAAATTGGTTTCTCCCTGGCACACAATAATGTAGCATCTAAATCTTATTATCGTATCGTTTTGTGCGTGCGACCGATACGGCAAACGAAGCCGAAAAAAAGACTCAACTTCAATAAACATCCCATCCTCATCGATATCTCCATTTTCGTGGGATTGAAATTTGAACAAATTCGGTTAGCTCGGCAAGCGGGGGAGGATGGAGAAAATAGATTATCGTTAATAATCAAATTTTCGACACAGGTACACATACTTTACGGATGATTTGCGGTACTGAAAACCGGTTTTCATCGACGGAATCATTCTGATGAAAATGATGAAATGCGAGGAAATTTAATTTTGTCTGCATAGATTGATTCATGGCTGGGAAAAGTGACACCGGAAAGCTGCGGGAATGAAGGTTTTTATTAGGAAATGTGGAACAGAGTACCTGGATGTTGCTTCCCGCATTAATTTGCTAATTTCATTAAAATTTATCTGCGGCAATCTAAGCAACCTAGATTTTTTTTGTTCACCATGCAATCAAAACCAGTTACTTGGTTTGTTTGTTCAAATTTTTTACTGATCGAAGTATGCTTGATGAAAATAACTGTTTAAGGTGCAATACACGTGAAAAGTCATCATTGTACTCCTGGTGCAGATTTACACAAATATTATTATTATTATTATGTTATTTTATGTAATTCGTGATTTATTCAGAGATTTGAAGATTAGTGTGAAAGACTTTCACAAACATTTAAAGGCGATAGAAAATTAAATTGAATCGAAAATAGTCATGTTTTTCAAATTTCCTTACATATGTTTATTTGATTGATGATTCTTATTCAGGATTCTTATTTAGGTGGCAGGCTCTCAGTTCTGCGCCCCTCCCCCTGGCTCTATTACTTTTACGATTCTCTCATCACATTCCATATCGCAACAAATCCTCATTACAATACCTGTTTTCGCTGTCATGAAGTGGGAGTTATTCAGTCCAGGAATGCCAGGTGTATTTACAAAAAGTCTTCAACGAGACCGACGACCCGAGTAAAGATTTATACCAAATTGATAACATGTTCCGATACCCAATTATCAAGGTTTGATAACTGAATATGTTATCATTGCGGTTGAATAAACAGCCATCATAACAAAAAATGGTGGGATTGAGTACATTAAGCTGGTTAGTGAACGTCTCCTGCAGTTTTCTAGATTTTGATTTAACACAGTAGAAGTAACCTTTTATATCGGTCCTATGTACATATTTTGGATTTCATACTTAGTAAAACTTGGCCAAATTCAGGACCTAATACAACTGCAAATACATTTGGTTCCTAAATTGCAATTAGATATGAATATTATGATAGGAACATATGACAAAATATAAACATTTTATGGAAATTATTAATTAAATTTCTCTAAAACAATTGAGCAACATCAAGTTTAGTAGCTCACATAACAAATCAAACTAAAGTTGAATTTTACTACTAATTATATTTCTTCCTCACCTACTTCGATGACATATAAACCAACATTTTGTTCATTATTGAAAGTACCATTTCAGATAAGGAAAGCACAACTGCCTGTTGCGTTATCACTCTCTTCTTTGCTTCAGAGACTTAATTTAAAAATTAGGTCTCTGAAGCAAAGAAGAGAGTGATAACGCAACAGGCAGTTGTGCTTTCCTTATCTGAAATGGTACTACAGCAAGAAGGGCTCTACATCTTTGGTGGACTTTATGATTTTGTGTTGTACATGTTGTTTTTTACTGTGTAATGTTTTTCAATTTTCTTCTTGTGCAGTATGTTGTTTGAATGTTTTAATTTGTTATTCTACCAACTTAACCTAACTTAACCTAACGTGCCAGATCCTTGACGATCTGTTGATCGGATCGCCTACAGCAATCTCTGAACCTTGCGATGGAGTCAGCTCTCCGTAATTCCGGTGTCTGAAGACCAGCCAGGCGGTGGACCTCAGAATTTCTAGTCCGCGGGGGACTGTTAAGTATCATCCTAAGGATCTTGTTTTGGATCCTTTGGAGTTTGAGGTGATGACATTTGGCGCAACTCTCCCAGATTGGCATCCCGTATTCTATTACGGGAAGGGTGATTTTTTTGTAGACAGCAAGCTTATTTTTCAGAGACAGGGTAGACCTCCTGTTGATGAGTGGATACAACGATCTTATCAAGATGTTGCACTTGGTTTTGGTTTTGTCAACGTGCTCCCTGAAAAGAAGCTTGCTGTCTAGTGTTAGTCCGAGTTACACGACCTCTTTGGACCATTCCACCACTGAGCCGTTTAAGCAGATCTTATTATTTTCAGACGGAACAAGTCTGGGAGATTTTGAGTGTGGAAAGATGATGACCTGGGTCTTTGCCGCGTTGATACGGATCTTCCAGCTGTTGAAATATTCAGACAGGACGTCCAGGCCTCTCTGAAGTTTGGCAGTCAGAGCTCCGATGACCCTACCCTTGTAAACGATGGATGTGTCATCTGAGAACAGAGACAACGATCCACTATCAGGGAGAGCCGGCATATCGGAGGTGAACATGTTGAATAGAATGGGGCCAAGGATGCTTCTTTGTGGAACCCCGACACCGATGTTGAAAGCATCCGATGTGATGGTATTCAGAGAGACTCAGAACGTCCTATCCAATAGATAGTTGTTTATTATCTTCACTAGGAAGATTGGAAGACCGTACTGCTGCAATTTGAACACCAGGCCATCATGCCAGACATTGTCGAACGCTTTTTCAACGTCCAACAACGCCATGACAGATGTTTTCGAAACAGACTTGTTCCGTCTGAGAATGTTTGTCACTCGAGTCAGCTGGTGGACGGTCAAACGACCTATCCGAAAACCAAACTGTTCCTCGAGTAAGATGTTGTTTTGTTCGGCAGATGTTAGGAGCCGGCGGTAGACTGCTCTTTCGAACAGTTTTGATAACCCTGAGAGAAGGCTGATTGGTCGATAACTTGAAGGAGAGGATGGATCCTTCCTTCCTAGGAAGATTGGTTGCATTTTCAGTAACCTCAGATTCATGAGGGCTAACGATGTGTTGTCCGAGATTATAGGAGCTGACGAAGTGTTGACCTATCGCGGCAGCCTTCTCTTCAGGAGTTATCAGATGAACCACTGGGTTGCCGTAGCAATCCAGTGGGGTCAGTGGTGGAATGGGTCTTGGCTTATTTTTAAGGATTTTCGTTAGTTTCCAGAAGGGCTTTGCACAATCTGGAAGAGAGCGGATCCTGTTAGCAAAGTCCTAGTTTCTGAGGTCCACCATCCTGGATTGGATGGTTTTTGTTAGGCGATTACAGTGGGTCTTAAGGACAGGCATACCAGAGCGTTGGTACTGCCTTCGGATGGTGTTACGGAGTCTTATAAGATCTTTGGTAGATCTCTCAAGGTTCAGAGTATTGCTCACCTGTCTGGATACTGTTACGTGTTGTTCCCTGGCCCGGGATATCGCCTCCTCGATGGAACGCAGACACCGGTCAACGTATTCGGGCGTCTCCGGAAGGACACCGTAGTCGACAGTGGAGTGGACACAGTGTTGGAACTGCTCCCAGCTGACACGATGGTAGTTGCGTCGGGAAGCTTGGATTCGGTTGACGGATGAACCTACTTCGGCCACCACCGGATAGTGGTCCGAACTCAGCTCCTGATAGGTCACAGGTAGCGAAATGTTGACTCCCATGTTGCTGATGAAGATGTCTATTGTGGAATGAACGCCAGACCGGCACAACCGGGTGGGACAGTCCGGCGCTAATATGGTGTAGCGAGCCTTTTGCAGGTCGTCATTCAAGATGGTGCCGTTTTGGTTGCGTCAACTGTTGCCTCAAGCCTGGTGTTCGGCGTTTAAGTCGCCAGCGATGATGTATTTTTCGCGCCGTCGAGTTAGTTTGATGATGTCCCTCCGCAGGTCTGCGGCCGACCCGTCCTTGATGGTGACTTGCTTGGGGCAGTAGGTCACAATGATGGTGATAGGGCCGACAGGTGTGGAGACTTCTACCCTTAAAGCTTCGATGGTTTTCAGCTGGAAGCTCGGCAGAAGCCGACAACAGATGTTTCTCCTTGCAGCAATGGCCACTCCTCCTCCCCCGGAGCTGGTTCGATCAAGTCTTAGAAGCCGGAAGTCAGGAAGGTAGATGTTTACCTCCAGTTTCAGGTGGGTTTCGGTGATAACGGCAATGTCACATTTTGTTTGTTGAGGAAGTCAACGAATCCGATGATCTTGCTCTTGAGCGAGCAAGCGTTCCAGTTGGCGATCTTGACGGTTTCACGGTCCATCCCGAGCAGGAACGAATAACTCAATACCTCAAATTGGTATGGATGAGCATGACATAAGAGGTAAAATACCAAAAAATAATACCAAAAAAATGTTCCCACAATACCATTCCAATACCAAATTATGATAATGCAATACCAAAACAATAACACCCAGGTATTCTTTTGGTATCCAAATATCATTTTTTGGTATTTACAAAGTATTTTCCATGTAATTGTTTGGTATTATTCTTTGGTATTTTACCTCTTATGTCATGCTGGTCAATACCAAATTTTGGTATCAGATCAGAATTAGGTATTCATTAGTTATTTTCTCCTGCTCGGGATAACTGAGCATGAAGGTAGCCACAGCTTGGAGCTGGTCGGATTTGTTCTTGATGGTGTTGGCAATGTCGTGCATCTTGAGGAAGATGATCATTATTTCCG